GGAGTAGGGCCTGCAGGCCCTCGTTTTTCAGTTTTCAGGCTGAAACGACCGGGGCCTGTAGATCCTAAGTTTTAGGCTTTTAGGCTGAATGTCCGGGACGGGTCCTACAGGGCCCGTGTGGCTACGCAGTATGCCACACTCTCTCTCTCTCTCTCTCTCTCTCTCTCTCTCTCTCTCTCTCTCTCTCTCTCTCTCTCTCCTATCCTCCACCTCTATTCTTCTTAGAGCAGCGCTGGTCCAGCAGCGTGTCGCTCAAGAGTGAGTCCCTCCCACCGTCCTCAGCCCAGCCTCAGCCCAGCTGTAAGTAGCGCTGGGCCTGCCCGGGGTCCTCAGGTACTGGCCTCAAAACGGCCTACTTGGTCTGGGCCCCTACCGGGTATCCAGACCGCGCTGCTGATGCAGCGAGGCGCCAAAACGCGCCTGGCCTCAAAAAGGCCTCGTCCCTGTGTACCTGGCCCAAGGCGTCGCCTTGGGGCCTGTCAGTCCAAAACGTCATCTGCACAGACAAAAATAAGACGGCACGTAAGTAAGTAAGTAAGTAAGTAAGTAAATAAATAAATAAATAACTGAGTGCTACCTCAGGCTGTGCCTGCGGCCCAAAAGGCCGTCGTGGGTCTCCAGGGCGCGTGCTGGATGGCATGCGGCCTGGGGCCCCTCAGCAACCGTCGGGGCCCGCAAATAGGGCCCGTGTGCAGGCGCAGCATGTTGATTTGCACAAAAATTAACACGATACGCCAAAAATGCGCCTATAGCACTAAACAAAATGGGTATTAGTTTCATCATTCTTGGAGTGGCAAATTCTGACGAAAACATAATTTCGTTTTTTGGTAGTATGAAAATAGAATTTGCCCAAAAATGAGTACCTAAACCAATCATCATATCTTTGGCCAAATATCCTACAAAAAGACTTCCAAAAGCCAAAAAGTATTAAACGAATTGCCATCAGAGTAGGAGCATCATGACATCTTTCGATGTCTCGCTTAAAAGCATTGGTTGGAGCAAGAAAAGTGAGAAAAAGTAAACGAAAAGAACAACATCCAAGCCCCAGCCAGCTATGGAGGCTGGGCTATGGCGCTGCCCTCACCAGTGCCCTTCCTCGTACACAACCGCACTCTCAGCACCTTGCCTTAGACCAAGCAGCAGGCCGCGAGACTCTGCTCCCGCAGCACTGCCGCTCGCTTGCAAGTGCCCGAATGCACCTCCAGGCGGTGAGCTCTTTCCTATATGGAAAGAGTCTGCCTGCCCCCCGGCCTGGCTGGGCTAGGCCTGCGCCTAGAAGCTTCCGGTAGGCCCCAATTGGCTGGGCCTCTGTTGCAGCTGCTGGGCCTCTTTCGGTTGTGCCTCCCAACTGTCTGTGTATGATGCTGCTATTCTTGCCCAGGGCCTGCATTTCAGAAAGGCCCAGAAGGCCATGGAATATTTGCAGTTCGGGTCCTGGGTTCCCTCAACGAACTGACGCGACACAACTGCCTGAACCCCACATACAAAATTGACAGCATTGGGCCTCACGTGATTTGTTAGGCCCGCCTTCACTTAGGGCAGGCACACTTGCATACAGGGCCTCTTAGGCCTGCCAAGGGGTCAAATCCTCGCACAAGAGTCTAATAAATTTGCATGATTAACCTTTCTTTCCTCTCAGTTGAGCAAAAAATAAAAAAGGGGCAGTGCGTTTATGTCACATTAGAGTTGTGAATGGGCAAAACGAACACAACAGGGCATTTTTGTCAAGGCCTGAGTCCAGAAAGGCGGGCAGTCCAGGACGGGTGGGAGTTTCATGTGGGAACTTTAGGCATGAACGGTACTGCTCCGTTCCCAGGTACCCGGCTTTTCCACTTCTTTTAGGAACGGAGGATGGCACGGGGTGCCAGCATTTCGAACAGGAGGGGCACCAGTCTTTTCAACCAGGCCCACTCCCGCCTCAAGTCCTGCTCTCCGCTCCTATGGTGCTTCGCAGCAACGTATGCACCTACCCAATGAGTGACGCCTATCGTGCAACACGGAGAGAGAGAGAGAGAGAGAGAGAGAGAGAGAGAGAGAGAGAGAGAGAGAGAGAGAGAGAGAGAGAGAGAGAGAGAGAGAGAGAGAGAG